CATACATTGTCAACATTCATTCCATCTAGAAGACCTTATGTTGTCCAGCTATATTGGCATGGGCAGTAATGCACCACTGCATAATACTGGAGCCACATGGGAGCCCCCGGTTCAGATCCCGAGCCTTTCCTAACATGCCAGGCATACCTACCTATACCCATGATCCTGGCTGACTGGAAGGGTTGGGGGACAGATTGTGGTGTGGTAGGACCCTGTCAAGAGTACCTGTGTGTGTGCAACTCTCCCACATGAAGAAAATAAAAAGTAAACAAAACAAACAAACAAAAAAAAAAAACAAAAAAACCTCAATACTCACAAAACAACAAAACATAACTGTACTTCTACACTCAGTGAAATCCAAGGATTAAAAATTCCAGACTTTCATGCTGGTTTTGGGCTTAGCAGAAGCATTTAGGTCAAGAGGGGAAAAAGAAATCGCTTATTGCAACTGAATATACTATTTTCTTTTTGGAGAGGTTTTCGCTACAGTGCGCATGCGCTCGCCAGACAGACTGAGAGAGACAGAGAGACAGAAAGCGAGAAATCACCCCCCAGGGGGAATGGCCATGCCGCAATCCCTTCTCCTCCATTCTCCTCTTGGGATCTTGGGCACGCACGCACATGCACCCAGTGTGAGTTTTAAGCCACCGGGTCCGGGACGCGAACCATGGTCGACTACGTGGGAGTCCAGCGACATAGCCTTTACGCTAACTGCTGGTCCCTGAATATACTATTTTAAAATGTATGTAAAGATATGGAATCAACAAATAAGATACTTTACTTTTACCACTTTAAAAAAAAAATACATAGTGGTCCATGTAAAGCAATAAAAAAACCATAGTTAGTGATTGGAATAAAACTTGAGGTCACCAGTGAAGAAGCTTCAGAAAAGGAGAGAGAAGAGAGCAGGGAGATGGCCCAGCTACTGTGATGCAAGATGTAGGGACAAGGCTGGTGCCACGTGAGAGGCCTAGGTTCAAATCCTGGACCAACTCAATGTGGTAGAATGTGTCCACTCTCCTAGCTAAGAGGGAGGCAGTGGCAGAGGATCACAACATATCTATCTCTGTCTCTTTCTTTCTCTACACTCTCTCCCCCTCTACTCCATTTCTCTCTCATGAAAATAAAAATAAATTAATGAATAAAAGACTACAGGAGAAAGTCATCTACAGTCTAGCAAGAGAAATAGACATAGATAAATAGATGAGGGCTTTATAGATCAATAAGTAGATAGATAGCTCATTGCAAAAGCTGTGTGTGATAAATGTTATACAGGAATTACTTTACATAATATTAAACAATATATAAACCTAAAATGTCACTGAGTAAATAAAGTGTATTTCTTATCATATTGTAGAGGGCTGTACTCCATGCAGTGATTAAGGGACTTAGGCTCCTTCCATTGGTGACTGAGCCATCCTCTAGCACTGCATCACCTGACTTTGGGATGGCGCTCAAAAAGGAAGGGGACAGTGGAAGAGGTGCACCCTCTTTTAACCACTGATACGGAGAATGACATTTACAATGACAGCTCATATTTCAATAGTATGAGCTAGTCTAGGGATAAAAAGGAGGAGAAATGGTGTTTATTTGTAGGCTTTGGAAGAGAAAAGGCATGCAGATACAGTGAGTATGAGTAGTCTCTTCTACTGTTACAACAGTGAAGGTTTCATAGAGAAGATATTTAAAAGAAATCTTGGGAGAAAGGTAGGACTTGGGCAGGTGGAGTGGATTTTATAGTTCTATGACAGGCCTTCAAATAGTTCATGGAAAATGAATATTATGAAAACCAATTTCAAACATTTTGCAAAAAAAATAAATTCATACTTTAATTCTGTTTTTCCCCAAATTTTTGAAACTTTCTTATTAAAGCCTTTCCTAGAACAGGAAAGCTCAAGGATATAGTCAGGAAACAATATGTAATCTTGGGTGGCTAAAGCAGAGTAGGAGATAGAGTTGGCTGGCAACCACACACACCTTTATTCCAAAGGCATTGTGTACAAGTGAAGTGCTTTTAAGTGAGTTATTTGATCACAAATGTGCCCCCAGTGTGAATAATGGACTGAGGGATAGAAGAGGATAGAAATATCCGTGTCAACATGGTGTTGCATGGTGTTGCCAGTCCAGCCTGGTGGCATGTCAGTTGCAAACTAAACTGCAGTGCTGGAAGCTGCTTCAGGTTCAAGTTCTGACCCTTGGGTCAGCTTGAAGACACCCTGAGTATGTGCCCAAGTGTCCAGGATCCTGATATGCTAGATGCTGGGGAAGGGATCACAGAATGACAAGACCTTGTCAAGGGTGCTTCCCTCCCTCTAATAGGGGTACACACTGTTAGGAATAAAATAAAAAAGAAAGGATGTTGTCTCAGTAGGTCCCTTGTCCTTATTTATGTTCTAGTCCTTTTGCCTTGTTTCTCTTAGCAACCACCTGGCTGCTACCTCTACCAAATCTTTGTGCTCCTCAGGGGTGGGGAGTGCAGTGGGAAGTTGCTGGCTGCCTTTGCTCATCATGCATACTCACCAGACCTGCTTCAAGCTTCATTTTCAGGAACATGTCAACTCTATTGCAACTGCCTCCATACGAACCCATATGTAACCTGGGGCAGAACTCGAAGCAAGGCCTTGCCTGGTGTATATATTGGATTCTCAGAAAAACAAAACCAATAGGAAGCAGAAGCGACTGTGTGTGTGTGTGTGTGTGTGTGTGTGTGTGTGTGTGTGTGTAAATAAGATTTATTATAAGGAATTGGTTCATGCAGTTATGGAGATGGCCAAGTCCTAAGATCAACAGACTGCTTCAGCAAGATTGAGTCTCAGGAGAGCCAATGGTATAGTTCTAAATTCAAGTCTAAAGGCCTAAAAACCAATAAAGCCTATGGTGTGGTTCCAGTCCAAAGCCTGGTCTGCTTGAGACACAGGAAGAGCTGGTATTTTAGGTCCTATTCAAAGATAAGATTGCACTGATGGCCCAGTTTAGAGGCACTCAGAAGGGATTCTTTCTTAGTCAGGGGAGGGTCAGCCTTTTGTTCTAGTCAGGCCTTCAACTGGCTGGATGAGGTCCATTCACCCACTCTAGGAAGGGTAATCTGCTTTATTCAGTCTACTAATTTAAACGTTTGTCTCATCCAAAAACCCACTCACAGAAACTCCCAGAATATATCTAGGTACCCTGTGGCCCAGTAAGTAACGATCATGCCTGGCATGTGGACAGTCAAAGCAGGTCTCTCTCCAGCATCAGTTTTTTGGGGTTTTTTGTTTTTCTTTTTTTTTTGAGAGGTTTTTGCTATAGGGCACGTGCACTTGCCAGACAGACAGAGAGAGCCATAGAGACAGAAAGCAAGAAATCACCCCCCCAGGGGGGATGGTCACGCTGCAATCCCTTCTCCTCCATTCTCCTCTCAGGATCTTGGGCACGCATGTATATGCGCCCTGCATGAGTTTTAAGCCACCGGGTCCAGGCCAGGACGCGAGCCACGGTCAACTAAGTGCGAGTACAGCGACATAGCCATTACGCTAACTGCTGGTTCCCTCCAGCATCAGTTTTCAAGGACAGAGAGATTTTTCTTTTATTCCATTAACCAGGCACAAATAGGGCCACATTCAGGGTAATAGATACACAAAATTAATGATTATGGAATAATAATTCTTTACATCTTACCTTGTATTTATAAATCACTGCTTGAATATGTCCATCTTTTTAAATGTTTTTAAAGAGATTTTTGCCTTAAGGTATCTGTGCTCACCAGAGAGAGAGAGAGACAGACAGAGACAATGAAAGGGCAAAATTAGAAATCACCCCCCCCCGGGGGGGATAGCCATGTCCCAATCCCTTCTCCATTCTCCTCCCAGGATCTTGGGCATGCATGCACACACGCCCAACATGATTTTCAAGCCACGGAGTCTGGACTGAAACCACTGTAGATCATGTGAGAGTCCAGCAATGTAACCACTTGGCCATCGGCTGGCTCCAAATATGCCCCTCTTTTTAAATCATTGTACTTCTCCAAAGAAGGTATCCTAATGAACACTTTGTAGATTTAAAAACCAAGGCTTGGAAACGTTGATGAATTTTTCCACAATAACACAGCAGGGTAATAAACATGGCAGTCTTGCTCTGAAAACCATAGTCTTTTATTTTTTAATTTTAGTTTTATTTCTTCTGAGAAAGAGAAGCACTGCAACAGGATAGGATCTGAAAGCCACAATCCATACCTAGACTCACCCATCCAGGGTCATGGGCATGTGTGCACCCCCAGCATATGTAGGAAGACCTTGGCACATAACCAAAGCCTTCCCACGTGGCTTCTGCATTGTGGAGCATTCTGTTACTTCACTACCGCTTGAACCCAAAAACTGTACTCTCAAAAGAGTACGTTCTGTATCGTTTTTCACACATTAGTTAATATTGCTACTAATTATAAGCATTAAGTGAAATAATGTGTTGATACATGATGCTTCGTAGCATGTCTGATATACAGTAAGATTTCCAACTCCTTTAAATAAACATTTCCACTATGGACACAGGTACAAAAAGAGTTACTTTTCATCTATGTTGTGTGGAAATATTGTGTAAAAATACCATATCTCATGATTTTTCTAAAGAATTTTTTTGCCGTTAGGGCAAATGCTTAAATCACCATATATGCAAGAGTATTTATTATAAAGTCTTATGTACCAAAGTGTTAAGATGCAAAAGAGATGACTTTGCTCATCTTCCACAAATTGTAAGTGATGTGTGTGTGTCAGCCTTGGTATGGACTGGATTTGCCAAGGGTTGCCAGGAGGTCACCAGTGTGAAAACATATTAGCAGGCTTAGGTTTTCTTGTATAGGATGTGTTAGTTCCCTCAATAATCTTACAGTTCCATGCGAGGACTTATATATTTCAAGACTGGTTTATGTGTTGGTTGAAATTGTGTCTGAGAGATGGACGAAAACAAAACCAGGAGCTGAAGAGTTCTGCCTCCGGTTTACTACAGCTTCATTTGTCCTTTCTTTATAGACCTATTGCTGCCCAGTGACGGATGGGCTGAGAGTGAAGTACCACCTTCTCCACCACCACATTCTGGTCTGGAATTGGGCCTGGAAGATTACAGCCACAGGTATTGATAAAATGATATATCGTAAATGTTCCCTGTTATTGTTTTTCTGGGAAAACTCAGCAACCTTATTTTAACTCTATTTCTTTCCAGAATGGAAATCTTATAGTATCTATAATTTCTTTCCAGTGAAAGCTTCTCCTAGCTAATGGCTGGTCATATTTTGCTTTCTGGAATTTGCTAAGGTTCTTCTTATATTATTAAAATATTTAAGAAAACAGTTGACTTTGCTTTTAGAAATTTAAAAACTAGAGCAGTGGAGTGCAAAGAAAAGTTATATGAGAAAGTATAAAACAACACTGGAAAATCATAAAACTCAGGTTTTTTTTTTTTAATTTGTACTTGCCAAACCCTAAAGGTATTTTAAAAATAGATGTTCCAAGAAAGTTAATGGAATCTAAAAATTAAAGCAACACCATATATAATCTAAAATATTGAAAAGGGTACCCAATATTATATTCATTCTATAATAGAAACTAAAAAAATCAATAATTTTTAGAATCACACACACATGAGAGAGAGATTTACTAAGCATACATACTATTTGACTACTAGAATTCATAGATTTTGTTCTTCTGATGAGTTTTAAAAATCATTAAATTGTCCCTTTGCTATTTTCTGTATTTATTATGGCTGTTAAAAACTGTGTATTTTATTCCATTCTGTGTCCCATGATAATCCTGTGAAATTTCTTCATTTTTCTTGCAGCAATGCTGTTGTCATTTCTATTATACTTTTTAATATGTCTGCTAAAAATAAAGCAACACAACAGGAGTACAACTAACTCTATTAAATGGAAGTTTACCTATATTTAGCTCTCTCTGATTCTTACGTTTTTGAAGTCAGTTATTTTGCTAACACACAATTTCATGGACTAGGTTAATAATCATAATACTATTTTAGATCAGTATCTCTGTAGATTTCTTGGAAGAAAATATGGACATATTTAATTTTTTTCATCTATTCCTATTGCCTGCCTCAGTCCTTGATCAAAAATGAGTTTGGCATCATAATAAATAGACACCCTTAAATAATTTTACTCATTCAACTTTACTGTTTATTCTGTGTATATGTGCAAATCCATCAGCATGGTACAAAGATGAATCAGATGCAAACTCTGACTTCTATAAACTTGTAGGCTAGTGGGTAGACTCATGGAATAACCAACACAAGTACAAAGTGATATTTACCCAAAGGTCCAGGTCCTCTTAGCATCAGAGGCAGAAGAGAACAACTCCAGATGGAGTAATCAGGGAACATGCTGTAAAAGTGTCATTGTGGGGCTGGCAGGTGGCATGACGTTAAAGGCACTGGACTTTCACATGACCAACCGTGGTTCAAGTCCCAGACCTGGCAGCTTGCTTTCTCACTTTCCCTCTCTCTCTTTCTCACTCTGTCCCTCTCTGGCCAAATAGATAAATAAAGTTCAATAAAATAATTTTTTTAAGAAAGTGTCATTGGAGCTGAACCTCAAATCATGAATAGTAAGTGGACAGATAGCTCAAGAAGGAAGGGGATTTTAGAACACAGGAAGGGTAGGAGGAAAGTGGGAAAGTGAATTGGTTTGTACAACTTGCTTCAAGGCTGGTTAACCAGATAATAAATCCCAGAATGCAAGGCTAAGATATACAGACTTCCTTTGGTAGATAGTAATATCTTACAGGGTTTTAGCAGGTAATCAGGATGATGAAACCTGGGTATTCATTATGTAAAGCATGGATTGGGTAAGTAAAGATGAGTTGATATCCACTGGAAGCCAGAGACTCTTTGGATAAATAAAAATGAAGCAACACAACAGGAGTCATGGGCAGTTGGGAGGCAATTGCATTGAGAAGCACCAAAGACCTGTGTAAAGGAGGATAGGGAGAAACTCTCAGATGAGACACCATCCAGTGAGAGGTGGCTCCAAGCTAGAATTATTGGGATTTAACAACTGCAATTTTGGCTTCTTCAGTATCTCCACACATTTCTTCCCTTCCTGTTTTTTGTAAAGTATATTCATATCATCTTGAGAAAAAGGAAAACAAAAAAGCTTATATTGACCCTCACTGTTATAGTCTTCATTACATGGTGTGAACTAGTAACTTCTATTTCCATTTCACTCTCTTCTTTCCTAACCCCTGTGTTTAGTCTTCTGTTCATACAGCTTTAGTAGAACTGCTCTGTTAAATGTCAACAGTAATTTCCATTCAGTCAGAAGTATGACATTTTCTCAGGATTTATTCTTTTTTTCTGTTTGGTCAAGAAGTCCTTCGTTCACCCTCTTATGCATTCTGAAGCATTTCTGCAGTTTGGAGCCAGGCACTATAGAGGAACTGGAGTGGATTGGAAAGCATCCCTGCCTACAAGAAATAAAGTGTCCTCTTGAGGAGATAGACACACAGATAATTAGGATGCAGCCTGCTAACCATTAGATACAAAATGCAGTGGGAGCCCAGAGGAATGAACCGCCAACACCTCCTGCAGGTGTCAAGGAAAGTTTCACAAGAGAGAGAGATTTTGAGTGGCTTCTTGCAGAAGGGAAGAGAAATCACTAGGCAAAGAAGTGGCAGAGAAAGCAATTTGGGTGAGGAAAACCAAGTGATGGGAGAGGAGAATGTGTGGCATGTTTAGTGTAACTGAAGCGTATGGTATCTAGGGTTGGGAAAGGCATTGTGTGCCAAGCTCCATGAGCACCATGGTTCTCCAGAGAGCCATGGGGAAGCAATGAAGGGTTTCAGGCCTGGGGCTGACAATGTCGTGTTGATTGATTTCAGTTGTGGAGGATGGAGTAGACAGGAGAGGGCATAGATAAGGAGACTTGGGACCAAGAAGGAAAGAGTAGGACCTAAATGAAAGGAGAAGCAACATAGAGAGGAAAAGACAGAGATATTTGTGAGATGTAAGGAACAAATCTTAAGCATTATAACTGTTTCCCTCCTAGGATCATGTGTCCTGCACCATCCTGCAAGCTGCTGCATTGCCTAGGTGACCAGCAGCCATGGTCTTTTGATGTGAGAAACTTGGGATGGAGGAAGGTTTGGAAGGGATCCAGGAGGGTTGAGCAAGGAAGGCTGTCCTAACTCTTTTTCTTTTCTTTTTTCTTTTTTTTGGGGGGAGAGGATTTTGCTATAGGGCACGTGCACTCACCAGAAAAACAGAGACAGAGACAGAAAACGAGAAATCATCTCCCAGGGAGGATGGTCATGCTGCAATCCCTTCTCCTCCATTCTCCTCTTGGGATCTTGGGCATGTATGCACATGTGCCCATCGTGAGTTTAAGCTACCAGGTCCAGCACTCAAACCACGGTCGACTACATGGGAGTCCAGCAACATAGCCATTATGCTAACTGCTGGTCCCCTAACTCTTGAAAAAATGTAAAGCCCTCTAAACAGGAGACATGCTGCTTTCAGGTAAAGCCAGTCTTGCAAAACATAAAACTGCGACTTCATGAGGAGTGAAAAACAATTTAATCAAACTTGGCACCTATACTTAGAACTAAAGGGACATCATAAAAATCACTAAATTCATGTGTACTATTATATAAACAATTATTAGAGGAAGGTGTAGAATATGTGTTTAAATCAAAATAAATTAATATAAAGAAAATTTAAGTATGTCCTCTGAGATCTCAGTGAGAGCTTAAGGCAAATCAACAGCAAACAAAATATATAGAATATTATTGACAGTTTTGATATCATTCGGCTCTTCCTTACATAGGTCATATTTTCTCTTCTCTGTCTTTTTTTCTCTCTTTGTCTCTTTACAGATGTGAACTGCATTTATTCTCACTCTTAGTAACCAAGTGTTGGAGCCTATCCATAGACACCTGAGGCTTTAGATGTAATTTTTGTTGGCATGCCTCTCCAAATCTTCCCTTGCCTTTTTCTTTCAGATCGGTCTCCTTGAATGTTCATTGTTGGCTCTTTATATGTCTTTCACATTCCTGGTTTGTCACCATATTACGGACACTGGCATATGTTTCATGCTACCCTTATTTATTCATGATGCAGCATAATTTGACATTGAGTCCCGTTTCTATTTGGTAGATTCCCTGGTTGTTCATGCTGAAAACACGGCCTTTATCTAAGATGTGTCTTTGGCCTGCTGTCAACTTTCAGCTTTCCACAGCCTCTGCTGCAGCCCACTCAGCCATGATCACAGCTAACTCCCTTTAAAATTAAAATATGTCATATTTTATAGTTAATCATTGTGTCAGCCTCTCACTCCAAACACTTTTGATATATAGCATAAAACTGCAAGCCATTTTACTAGTCTAGCTTTCATGTCTAAAGTAGTTTCACATTCACTATGGATAATTCCATACTACACTCATTATTTTAGTGTATTGTAGGCTCACATTGGCTCTAATCCCCTAATTCTTAAATTTTCCTCACTTCCTTCCATAAATATCTGCCAATCTGGTACCAGGTTTATTTTCCCTTATTTCCACTTTGTGCCACAATAAGAGGGATCCTTCTAGTGAAGATTTGCAACGTGGGTACTTTGTCACCACCAAAATACTGGTAATAGGTATTTTATAATTATGATTAATTTAATGGACATAATCAGGTATATATGAAGGTACTTTGAAAACCTTCATAGAAAAATGAAATTAAAGTGTGAGTTAGATTTGGTGAAACAAAAGTTTAAATCCATGCATAGTTTTTTTCATGAAATGCATTTTCTGTAAACTTTCTAAACACCTCTTGCATATAAAAGAGTATTTGCTACTTTCCCATCTGCAAAGCAGCTTTTTTATTTCTTGATAATTTGATTATATTCTATTTTGTTTTTTAAAAATTCACTGTTTTGGGTCCAGCAGCTGGTGTGGTAGTTAAGTCACTAGTTGATTATATTCTAGTGTTTGTTTTTTAAAAATTCACTGTTTGGGGGCCAGCAGCTGGTGTGGTAGTTAAGTCACTAGATTCCTATATAGCCAGCCATCAGTTGTTCAAGTCCTGGACCCAGTGACTCGAAAAAAATGCCAAACATGTGTGTGCATGCCCAAATCCCAAGAGGAGAATGGAGGAGAAGGGATTGAGTCATGGCCTTCCCTGCAAGGGCTGATTTCTCACTTTCCCTTTCTCTCTCTCTGTTGTGAGCACATGAGTTGATGGCAAAAACATAAAAGGGGGAAAAAAATCACTTTTTTTGTCAGATCCTAATCTGATGTTACTATGTCAAGTACTATTGCCACCTTATTTTAAAAATGGGAATGGGAGTCTTTGTTTTCCAAAAATCTAGGAAAATTAAAACTTTTTCTCAATTCGTCAATGAATGCCTAGTTTGGTAAGATAATATAAGACAATGGATTAGGTTAATCAGTAAGTTATTCAGTTGGGTAGATTCCCATAGTCTGCCTTGAGCAGAGCACTTTAAATGCAGTGTGATCCATGTTTTAATGAGAAATATTCATGTTGGTCCTAAACTTCCTCCCTGAAGGCTTTCATTATAACATATGGCGTCTGCTTTAATGAACTATATGGTGTTTTTTTTTTTTTTTTCATATTATGTACCATGCTATTGAAACAAAAAACTAACCTAAAATATAAGCCATGTAAGAGAAAGTGTGAGCTCATCTGCACTGTAATGGAAAGGCTTGATTTTTTTGTGGCTTCTGGATTAGTAACAACCTGTTTTCCAGGCTGGCCGCCAATTTAGCCAAAGTTTTTGACTCTGGTCCTGGTTTTGCCCCTGGCCAGCTGCGTGACCTTGGAGCATCAGTCCTCCTCTGGGCTTCAAGGTCTTATCTGGAAGAAGAAGTGACCTTTAATCCCTTCTGGCCCTTTATTTCTTTGATTCTTGAAGACCATGAGTCTTCCTGACACTCAACCTACATTATTAGAAGAGATCAAAGGATGAAAAACTACGTGCAGATAAAGGTTGGATAACACATTTAAAGGCAAATGCTTCCAAAACACCTAAGCTCAGGGGCATGTTCATATTTATAATAGCATGTCAGAAGTCTTCTTTAAAATGATTGAGGAAAAAAAACTTAATAAACATTGCTGTGAGGCCAGGACAGTGTCAATAATACTAAGTGGGTCAAGGATTTTTGTTTACAATTGACATATTTTCCTCCATTAAATACCACATCAAATATGCCTTATATATTAATGGCTTCATCTATTGAGAATGAATCCAGACACCAGTACAGAAACAAAATTACTTAATTAATTTTAAAAAGTTTCACACTCTAAAGAATGAATTAATTAAGTAGTTAGTTGTTATTTTTAAGTTGTTGCCATAGGATTCAGGTGCTCACTGGAGAGGAGAGAGAGAGAGACAGAAGGAAAGTGAAAATTAGTCCCCCCACCCCCATCTCCCCACAGAGGAGGATAGCCACACTGCAGTCCCTTCTCCTCCTCTAAGGAGTTTAGGCCTGCACGCATATGCACCCAGTGTGATTTTTAACCCACTGGGTCCGGAACTCAAACCACAGTGGGTCATATGGGACTCCAGCTGCCTTAACCACTATGCTACCACCTAGCTCCCAAAGAGTGAATTTAAACTTTTTGAGAAGTTTTTGTGAAAGCATGTAGAGTATTTTTAATGGAGAATGCCTCAAGCCTTCATTCAAAGACTACTCTACTCTATAGAAATAAAGAAAAGGATTACTAACAGTTCATGTTTATTTAGCTCTTACGACATGCTTAGTACTTTTCTCAGTATTTAAAATAATTTATTTAATCCTTACAAAAAGCTTTACACAGTAAATTTTATTACTATCCATTTTATGAAGAAGTAAATTGGGGCCTCTCCCTCTAAAGCATGGTCCCCTAACCATCGCACTACGTGTCCTTCTAAGCAGGAGAGAAGTTCTCCTAGTCACAGGCTCATGGAGAATCTGACAAGGAAAGAGAAGTTAAGGAAACTGTAACAAGCATGCATAACTGAGAAAGCTCAGAAGCATGTCCTCTAGGAAACAAGCGAGTCTATTTATTCATCTGCTTATTTGTTAACTAAATTCCTCTACAACACTTACTCTATGTCAGACAGTAGCCTCCTATTTTACAAATCCTAACTGATTCTCTCCTTTAAACAAACCCGTGAGGCAAAGAGTGTGATGATGGCCATTTGATGGAAGGAAGTCGATGCACAGAGAGGTGGGGTATTCGCCCCAGTTAGGAAGTAGAGCCAGGATGGAGAACCAGCAGACCTGTTCCAGTATCCTGGCTCCTGAGGACGATGCTATGCTGCCTGCCAAGGTTACTTCTTTAGTCTACCTACTGTATTATATTACTGGAGATTCATTTATTCATTCAGCAATATTACTAGTGCTGCATATGACTGCAAGGCAATATTAAATATACATGACTAATGAGTTTCATGAAAAGATTAAACTTCTTTTGGTATATTTAGTTTAGAAGTTGATATTCCCCTGTCTGTTTAGGAAGATTATCATTCAAAACATCATTTTTGTTAAAGTATCAAAATCCAACTGTTTGAAAAAATAAACCTCAGTATTCTCAAATTTCCTAAGGATACTCAATTTGAGTTTTCATTGTATCTAAGATTGAGATAGATGTTATGTTGAGATGAACTACCATATCCACTTTCTACACTGACAGTGGGAAAATGTGGCTATAGTTTAATTTGTACAAATTATATATATATATAATTTCTTTTCAGATCAATAAATAAGTCTTTGTCTATAACCCCCAATACTGTCACCTCTATCATCAAGCAAAATAAAAATATACAGAACTAAATTTCTTTGAGATCAACTATAAGTATTAGGAAGCCTGTAAGAGGCATTTGTTGTGTCTTCTGTCTAAATTGTCAACTGTGCTTTTCCTGTTGTTTCCTTTTGGTGTTATGGATGAGCAGATCATTGGCTCAACATTAACATTAGTTTTGTAAAAAAAAACCTAGGGCCATCAGGTGGCTTAGTGGTGAAGGTGCTGGTGGTCAACTGTTACTTGAAATCTCAGACCCGGTAGCTTGAAAATCACACTGGTGCTGGGACCAGCGGTTAGTGTAATCGCTATGTCGCTGGGCTCCACGTAGTCGACTGCGGTTCAAATCCCCGACCCAGTGGCTTAAACTCATGCCAGGCATGTGTGCATGTGTGCCCAAGATCCCGAGAGGAGAATGGAGGAGAAGGGATTGTGGCGTGGCCAACCCGCCTGGGGATTTCTGGGTGATTTCTCACTTTCTATCTCTCTGTCTCTCTCTGTCTGGCGAGCGCACGCGCCCTATAGCAAAAACCTCTCCAAAAAAAAAAAGAGATAAAGAAAATCACACTGGGTACATATGTGTGCATGTTCAAAATCCCAAGAGTGGAAGAGAAGTGATTGTTGTGTATCCATCTCCCTTGTAGGGCGATTTCTCACTTTCTGTCTCTCTGTCTCGCCAGTGAGCACACACACACCCTGATAGCAAAAATCTCTCTAAATAATAAATAAGACCTATATAAAGTAGCAAATGAAGCTCCTGAAGCTGTCATTCATTAAATGAGATGGTTTTTGCTAAAGAAACAATGCTTTCACTCTTTTTTTTTTTTTTTTTTGGAGAGGTTTTTGCTATAGGGTAAGTGCGCTCGCCAGACAGAGAGAGACAGAGAGACAGAAAACAAGAAATCACCCCCCAGGGGGTATGGCCACACCGCAATCCCTTCTCCTCCATTCTCCTCTCAGGATCTTGGGCACGCACGCACACACACCCAGAGTGAGTTTTAAGCCACCAGGTCCAGGATGCAAACCGGGGTCGACTACATGGGAGTCCAACGGCATAGCCATTACACTTACTGCTGGTCCGAATGCTTTCACTTGTTTTTAAGGGAAGGACATTGTAGTCCAAAGAACTCTCTGAGTCTTTTTTTGGACTCTGCTAATACCTTGTGACATCCTTTGAAGTGCAAGTGCTTTCCAGGCTCCCCTAATCGTCAAAGTTACATATTGTACAGCAGGATCCCAATTAGCAGAAATCAGTGAAGAGTAAAACACGATATTAGCTAGAGAGTACTTTATTTAAAATGGTCAGTGTGATGAAAACCTTGAAAACAGAATTGTTTTATCTCATAAAAGAAACCTGAGATACAAGAGTTGGTTGACTATGCGAGGCTGGGAGCTGTGGAGTATGGTGTGGACTTGTGTTCAAAATAACGACCACTGCTTTCTCTCTCTCTTTTTTTTATTTTTGAAGATTTTATTCTAAACCTAAATACAATCCATGACTTCTTTCCACAGCTCTGGAGTGGAGTCGACAATATACTTTCCAGATCAGCACATCAACTTCAGATCTGTGACACCAGCCAGGCAGCCTGAATCAATTAATCTGAAAGCCTCAAAGAGCATGGACCTTGGTAAGTGAGGGGAGGTGACATCCAGGTCAGCTGTCCAGCCTCAGCCCATCCATCTTCCCAAATGTCCTGGTTGTGTTTCTCCAACTCAGACCTCAAGGAGCTGGTCTGTTCAAGCCTTCAGGGAGGGATGATGGTCATCCTATGTTCCTGTCTCCTCTCACACATTTAACTGTAATTATCCTTTCATAAAGGAAAAGTGAATGATATCTTCTTGTGGCCCCTAAAATGTCTTCCCTTTTAGGTCAGAAAAACATGATTCCTTCTGGAGGATTTGACTGCCATAGCATCTTTACCTCACCTGCTTTTATATTTACGAGTGTGTTTTCATTCCTATGGACATACGTGTTCCAGGTCCAGGGCAGATAATGTGGTTAACTAAATCCTCATCCACAGTGCTTTCCATTCTTTTCATCTCCATGCCTAATGGGTGGAGATGGTAGCAGCAGAGAAGATTACTGTCTTTAAATGTCCATCCGTAATCCTGTTACACTGGAGGGAAGGGGGTTCCCCCGGTTCATGCGACTGAGGTTGTCAAGTGCCCTGGGTTGGTGCATGATCAGCCTTATTGAGATTCTGAGAACCACAGGGAATTTCTTAGTGACCGTTGGCTGCCAGGGGAGACTTAAAGCCCAGGCTAGTCGTGTTCTTCCGGCACTGGGACAGGGGATGCTGGAACATATCTCAGCCGCTAGAAAACATCACTGCCTTCCCTGGACTTTAGAAAGAGAGCAAGCCATTGGAGGAGTGTTAGGGTGTGAAAGAAATTTTCACCAATACCCATTGCTTCCAGAATGCTCAGAAACCAAGTTCTGCAATCGTTTTGTTTGTTTGTTAGTTTGTTTCTTTGTTTTCTCTCAAGGCATGTTATACATTTCATTACTAGCAATGAGAAAATAGAATAATCAAAACTGTGTGCTCTACCAAACCATCTAAGAAATAGTGCTTATCTGTTACTCATTTCAGGAGTTTAGGAAAATGTTCAGTCATGATAAAACAAGAGAAATTGATTCTATTCTCTCTAAAATTAACTAAATCACTGGGATGCATTTGCTTTATTCACCTCTAGTGAGAGACAGATAAGCCTTAACAAGGAAGCTGTCTTGAGCACTGGTCAGAAAGGGGATTTTTTCAAACATAACTTTTGACAAACCAAAAAAAAAAAAGTGACAGTGACATAAGTTATCACAGAGAATTCTAATCATTTAAGGAGCAGTTAATTTTTATAGAGTACATGATAAACATTCCTATCCATCTTCCCAATTTCTGTATTAAAAAAGAATGGATTTAAAAAGGCCCTTAATTTTAGAGGGAAAATATATCGCTGTGTTCTAATTAAATTTAGAAGGATTGGTCAATATTACAGTTTTTGAAAGATTTCTGCAAAAGGAAAAAATAGCATTCATTTTAATTTAATCAACAAAAAAAATTATTTTTCTGTAACATAAAACCTAAGGCACAGAACAGTATTTCCCTTTATATTTTTTATTACTGTAAATTTTTTGGTAAGTTTTCTCTTTTAAATTGAAATAGTCCTTGTGAAATATGGGTAGTTAGCAACCATCCATTGCGTTTGATTGTACATAGACTATAAATGACAACAATAATAGTAATGTTTGTTCAGTTTACAAAATTGTACAGGTCATGACCTATTTTCTTCAGGACACAAATAACAAAGTAAAAGCATTTGCTAAACTGCTTGATACAGCAGAAATACTCAATACCATGCTGTAAAAACATTTTTAGAGTAATCATCTAAGTTGGCCCTTTCCAAGAAATGCCAATTTAAAGCTAACAGTCTTGTAGAAGGCTCTGAGGGCCAGCATTCAAGGATTATTCCAATTCCTTCTCCTCAGAAAAATCTAATGAACTTAATAAGTGTGTCTTTCGCAATGAATAAACACAGATGTCACTGGTGGACATTCAGAAATCACTTTACTATTTGATTAGGAAAATAGAATTTTGTGTGTAGTTTACTTTTTCATATATAGCACAGGGACAAGTAATATAGAACGAAAGTAATATATTTTCTGAAATGGTTAACCATACTTATAGGAATAATACTCTCAGGATCAAGAGCCATTTCTTTTTTTTTTTTTTTTTTTTTGTTTTTTTTTTTTAAGGTTTTAGCCATGGGGCACATGCATTTGCTCAAGAGAGAAAGTGAGAGGGAAGGTGAAAAATCACCCTCCCTCCAAGGGGGATGGCTACACTGCAATCTCCTCTCGTCTCTTATCCTGGGACTTTGGGCATGCACATGCACCCAGCATGAGTTTCAAACTGCCACCAGTTCTGATACTTGAATCACAGTCAGCTACGTGGGAGCCCAGTACCTTAACCACCATGCCACCTGCTAACTCCAAGAGCCATTCTTTACAAAGTTTAAAATAAATAAGCTCAGCTGTGGTTGTGTGCCAAGCCAAGATACTGTGCTTAGAGGCTAAAACCACATGCGAAGCCTGGGTTTATTCCTAGTCTAACCTAAAAGTTGGTCATTGCGGCATGCACCTGTAATCCCAATGACTCAGGGAGGCTGGAACAAGATAATCAGGAGCTTAAGGCTAGCCTAGGCAAAATAGTGAAACCCTCTCTTAAGAAAAAGTTTGGGACCAGCAGTTGGTGGAATGGCTATGTCGCTGGATTCCCATGTAGTCGACCACGGTTCGAGTCCCGGACCCGGTGGCTTAAACTCAGGCCAGGTACGTTTGCATGTGTGCGTGCCCAAGATCCTGAGAGGAGAATGGAGGAGAAGGGATTGAGGCATGGAATCTTAAAATATTTATATTGAATCCGAACTAATCCCTTCTGACTATTTTTCAAGTTGCGAAAACAGGAGTCTCATATGGTATAAAATAAAAAATATAAAACTCCTATTTATTATATAATTCATTCTTCATTGATAAAGTTGATATTATCCTTGAAAGGGTAACAGTCTCCATCAGTATTTTTTTTTTTTTTGCTTCATTTTTGCTATAGAATCTAAGCTGGTATTTTAACTTGCACAAAAATGAGTCATTGTTCTATGTTTAAACTGTATTAAAGGTAAGTAGTTTCCTTTTACTTATTTTCACTTATAATCCTAAAGACAATTTTTTTTAATGAAAAGTAAAGACTCTTCTTCCTATCTCCTTTCCTATTACCAGACCCAAACATGGTTTAAAAGCAGCTTGCTATGTACATCCTTGTAGAAACCATTCTACCCATTGCTTCCCTATCATTCTATGTGTCTAAACCACATGGTTAAGTTTCTGTATATTATACTAGTCACATTGTGATAAATTAATGAATTTGATTCACAGAAGACTTTTTCTGTTTTAATAGAATTTGGACTTAATTGAAGATCTTATTTTGTTTTTATTTTCTCTGTATTTGTTATTTTGCAATTTGCTCCTTTATCTTGCCAACATCTCCATTTGTTAATTCATCTTTAACACATTGTTATATATGTTGCAAGTAATTTCTTGCAATCTGCTTGTCTTTTTTAGTTTGGTTGTGATATCCTTTACTGCTTAAAAAAAAAAAGGTTATAGTCTTACACGAATGTTCCCATCTTTCCTTTCTTTGTGATTATTGTGTTTCATGTTTATCTCACTTATTTTTTTCTGGTACATTCAGACACTAGGTCTTAAAAAATATATTTATCAGTTGATAAGATACATACTTTTTAAGTTTGTTTTATTCATGATAGAAAGCATGTGCAAATGCATGACAGAGAGAAAGAAGTACCTTCAACAGAGTCTTTTCACACTATAATCCTCTTTCTCCAGCCCTGCAGCTCATTAGGATATTGGGTGTGAATGTCCCCTGCATATTTTCAGACACATGCACATACTCAGTCCTGTGGTCAGCCACGTGACTTCAGCAGTTCAGCTTACTACTAACTATTCACCAGGTTGGACAGATCTATAATATAATTTTATCCATAGGTGGGAAAAATTTTTTAAACATCAATAGGCAAATTATTAATAATACTTACTGACTTTTTCATCCTTTTTCCTATTAATTTGGAATGCAGTCTCACTGAATGCTAAATTCTCTTATATGTACATATAGATGGGCTTCTACACATGCAATTCTTTGATACATTAATCTGTCCTATGCCAGCATTATGCTATTTAAATTATGATGCTATTACTTTGTATTTGAATAATTTATAGAATAATTTTCCTCTAATCTTTTTTTTTTCTTGTAAAATTAGTTTGGCACTTCGTATGTATTTATTCTCCCATATGAACTTTAGAATCAGCTAATCAAAATGAGTTTAAAGATTAAACAGAAATGCCTTCACCATTTGTGTGTGTGTGTGTGCATGTGTGCATGTGAGAGAGAGAGACACAGAGAAGAGAGAGATCATTCATTGTAATATATGTTGTTGGTTATTGACAAAGACTTTTTTTGAGAGAGAGATTTTTGCTGTAGGGCACATGTGTTCACCAGAGAGACAGAGAGAGAGAAAGTGAGAAATCACCTCCCGACCCAACAAAGGGATGACCACGTTGACATCCCTTCTCCTCCATTCTCTCCTTGGAACCTTGGGCACACATGCATATGTATCTGGTGTGAATTTCAAGACACTGGGTCTGAGACTCAAGCCACTGTCAGCAATGTGGGAGTCCAGCTCCTTAACCACTATGCCACCTGCTGGCCCCAACAAAAATATTTTATCTAGTTAAATAGGTTTCTTTATGTTCCTAACTTTCTAAAAGTTTTTATTCTTTTATTTTTAAGGATAGATGTCTCATTTTACTAAGTGATTTTAAGAATGTATGTAGACAGAATATGGATATTTTGTTTTTTACTAATAAAATAGTAGTGAGTTAACTAATGGATACTCAATGTTAAATCTTTCTTTTTAAATGACTCTATATTTTCCTGTATTCCTGAAATGTACACATTTGAGTAACTACTAATATGTATGTTAAATCATCCTAGAAATGGGTAACACATCACCTACTAATTACAATTCTACTCATGTCATTAATTCCTGTATATCCTCTATAGAT